GATACGGTTGGCTTTCTGGGCTGCGAGCACACACTGAAGCCGGCTCATGTTCATTTTCTCATCGACCAACACCCCCAAGTCCTTCTCTGCAGGGCTGCTCTGAATCTCTTCTCTGCCCAACCTGTAGCTGTGCCTGGGATTGCTCTGACCCAGGTGTAGGACCTTGCACTTGTCATGGTTAAACTTCATGAGGTTGGCATCAGCCCACCTCACAAGCGTGTCGAGGTCCCTCTGGATGCCATTCCTTCCCTCCAGCGTATCAACCGAACCACACAGCTTGGTGTCATCGGCAAACTTGCTGAGGGCGCACTCAATCCCACTGTCCATGTCAGCGACAAAGATGTTGACCAAGACCGGTCCCAACACCGATCCCTGAGGGACACCACTCGTTACTGGTCTCCAGCTGGACATTGAGCCATTGACCACAACTCTTTGTGTGCAGCCATCCAGCCAGTTCTTTATCCACTGAGTGGTCCATCCATCAAATTGATGTCACTCCAATTTAGAGACAAGAATGCGATGTGGGACAGTGTCGAACGCTTTGCACAAGTTCAGGTAGATGACATCAGCTGCTCTACCCCTGTCCATCAGTTCTGTAGCCCCATCACATTCCAGCTTTGGAATATGATTTTCTATTTTTTGCATAAATTATCAATTTTCTCTGTATCAGTTGTGCATGAGATCAGTATTTAAGCTCCCCCATCATGTGACCCAGACAGATCCAAAATCCATCTGCTGGAAAACCAGTGAAGTTTCTTGCTCTTCTTATGCTTTATGTTTTTAAGCTGAACATGTTATCAGAACTACCTTGTGATAAGTAGTAAACCAAGCCCAACAGTGAGGCTGTTTCAAATTGAGAAGTACTGCAACTGGAATAACAGGAAATCTCAGGCTGCTAAAATTAATTTGCGCGAATAATAATTTCTCATGCAAAACAGGCTTTGATAAAAACTCCACTGGTGCAGCCTCTGCAATCTGGCTGTCATTAACAAGCAGCATTAGAGACTGGCACTGAAACAAAGGTATTTTTTCCTAAAAGATATCCTTCACCTTGCACATCACAGAAACAAATATTTGTCTAGAAAGTCAGTACCACAGAAACAGTTTGTTCTTCCAGTGTCATAAACTGCAGGCTCTCATGTGAAACTGATCTTGTGTCTGGAGGCACTGAAACCACCTGCAGTAATAATAGCTCAAATCATCTTTAATTTATGCCTGGCTTCTGTGTTAGATTCCCTTGAGTTTCCATCTTCTTAAATGACAACAGTTTGTTCAGAGTGGCTGTGAGGATCTGTGGGAGAGGTGAGGAGGTGATGGAGGATGATGTGCTTGGATTGCCCCATGCATAAATAAGTCTCTGACTGTTTTGGGCATGTGCAAGTAGCTCCAACTGTGCTGGCTGTGGAGCTAGAAATGATATCTCCACATGGGTATGGTGTTATATTGGAATTAATAACTCCTGCTCAGGTCAGGATTAACCACCAACATTTGCACCAGGATGGCTATGCTGCTGATGCGTATGGCCCCATGCCGCACTATGAGTATGTTGGCTTTCCTACCTCCAGTGTCCTGAGACAGCAAACCTAGATGTTAAACCTGCGCCCACCACTATCAGACACCCCAGCAGGGCTACTTCCTTCTAGATTAGGGAAGGATCCCTCTTCCTCTCTATCTTTACTGTACCCTTGACTTCCACTTTCTTATGAGGCCATGTCTGCAGTTTCTATTCCTGGAAGCAAGGATGAGATCCAGTTCAAGATTAGAGCACATGGGATGTTGGCTGGGATTCTAAGCTCCCATTGCATTCAACAGAGGTGGAATTAGTGGAGACTGGAAAGTGATGCAAATGTACCACAAAGCAGATGAAACCATGCTGTGAAGGCAGGGGTCTGAGTATGGAGCAGGATGTGATCCAGTAGCCTCAGCATGGGCATCTGGTGCTAATCGACACAGTCCACAGTCTCCCACTTGGCCTCCATCTGCCACTCCAGAAGGAAGGTCTCTGCAATGGGTTACACTTGCCAAACCCATGTGGCTGTCCCGAACACCCCAGTGTGGCACTAAACATGTAATTCTTGGTAACTGAATGGCATTTGCCGGTGAAATGACTGCTTGCATTGACCCAGGCTGGGTTGAGGTGCCCACACGTAGAGCCCAGTGCCACTGGAGAAGATGCTGAATGCACAGGACCCCTGTTCCCAGCTGGCAGATATGATATGGGGCTATGCAGGGCTGGACTGTCTTAGCCACAGCTTGAGAGCAGGTAGGACACTGTATGTGACTGAAACAGCACTAAGTACCTACATTAGGGTAACCAAAGTGAGCCTTAAGTGCCATTGACTGAAGGATGTAGCTCACATGCAGAAATGTTTAGGGAGGTAGTTTGATCTCAGACACAATCCCACCCAAGGAGTAAAAGTCTGGCAAACACATTACCACGCTCCTTGTACAGCAACACATTATTGCCATTCATTTTGAGTGCACATAATACAAATCAAGTCCTTATTACATGAAGCACAGAAACCCTGAAAACCTTTCCTTGTCTTGCAAACAGGAATTCATAGAGACTCATTCTTATTAAACTGCATTAAGCCTTTGGGGTTGGGAATTCCCTGTACAAATGGGGAATTTAGATTTGAGGAATTGAATTTAGATTTAAGGAGTGAGCATATGCCTTGCTTGACAACCCCAGCACACACTGACTTGGAAAACAGAGAAGGAAAAGACTGAGCTGAACCATGCAGTATGATGAGATTGAAGCCATCCACTGATCAAAGATGTGTTCATAAACTGAGTGTGGAGGACATATTACTTACCACTGTCTCACCCATATTCCTCAGCAAGACACATAAAAGCAACAAATCAAATAACAAGAAGTCTGCCAGCAAAAAAGACCTTTGTGGCATGAGCTGTGGTTGAACGGGACTGAAAGCTTGGAAGAAAGCAAGGCCAAGTTTATCTCCAGGCAACCAGGATGCAACAGTTCACAGCCCTCCTGCGGGCTGCCAGATGGAGGCAGTTTTTCATGTTGATATTTGACAATAAATGGAACCTAGGCAGCAGTTGAGCCTGGAAGTGAGGCAGCATACTGCTCTCTTCCACCTGCATCCTTCTTCCTCACACTCTCTGAAGCTGGTACTCAGCAAAGTACTACAAAAGCAACACAAATGACTCTATCTGACTGTCCTGCCATGGCTTACAAGAACCAAAAAGTCAAAATCCCAAACCTTTGGCCTTCCATGCTCAGGTCTGCTTGTGGGAAATGGTAAGTTTGGGTTAGCACACACCATCCTACAGAAGAGAACTCAGGAATGTTGTGTGAAGCAGCCTCTGAGGTATTGTGGCATTCCTACTGTCTTCCTCCCAGCTGTAGCATGTCCCGCTGGGCTTTGCCGTAAAGTCAGAATCAGCACTGTTGATTTTTGCTTTATTTAGCAAAAGCTTTTTGCATCCTACTCTTCATGGCTGCTCCAAGATAAATCCATCCCCTTGCAAAGTTTTGTACTCAAAGAGTTTTCAAATATTCATGTAGGTTGGAAAGCCACTCATAAGGCGGACGTTTTTAGGCAGGACTTGGTTTTAAATACACAAACATACATGCAAATAAATGAAGCGTTCCTTTACTATCTTAATATATATATAAAAGCTACTTTGGGTAGCATATAACTTATGATCAAGACTAAATGAAAGTGTAAAGAATAAACATTGCACAGAGTGGATAATAGAGCAATGAAGTTTGTCTTAGCAAAAATAGTTCTACCACACCATCGAAAAGCTATTCATGTTCACAAGCCACTAAATGTTTGCATAAGGAGAAAGGGAACAAAGTAGGAATGCTTTAATGCTGTGCCTCACTGGAGCTGCTTTTTCCTCCAGTCTTGTGTAACTGTGACAGTTGTGTAAAAGGGAAAAACAGAAAAAAAGGGAAAGCACTGGTAACGCTGGCATGAAAAGACTTTTGTTTCTGTGGCAGTCAACAGCTACACAGCAGCTCTGTGCTCTCTTGCACAAAAGGAACAGGCTTCTTGTGCATTACGCAGTCAAAAGCCTGACCTCCTCTCAAAGACCCACATGAACAGGTCCTCCTTCAAAGTCTGCTAGGCTATGTAGATGCAACCTATGCAACTGTTATTTGAATGATATGCAAGGACTCACAGATCCAAGAGCACAGACTACCCCATCCAGACAGGTTCACAGTCAGCAAGTTCTGCATTTCCTTCTCAACCCAAATACTAGCAGTGATTTCATATATTCATGCATATATTTCATATATTCATGCACACAGAGCTGGATTCAGATCATGGTGTCCAGAAATGTTATGGGCACCCTTCTCTGAACAGTACTAATGACCCTTGGTACCAGGGTATCCCTGTTATCACAATAGCCAGGACACATCTCCAGTCCTTCCAAGTTGTTGCTGGTGCAGGAGGTGGCTTACCTGCTTTCACGGCTTAAGTACTGAAGGCTGCCCTTTTCACGGGTATGAGTCTGGTCTTTGAAGGATTTCAAGACCCAACTTGATAAAGCCCTAGAGACAACCTGGTCTGACTTCAAGGCCAGGACTTCCTGAGGTTCCCTTCAATCTGAATTACCCTATTAACTCATTCTGAAGAAGGGTGGCAGGTACTGCGTGAGGACAGGCACTAAAATCTCCATAAACACGAGTAGCGAGATCTATCCACCACTCTGGAAAATGCACAGAAGTCCTGGTCCTGTAGCTTTCTCAAGCAACCAGTCCCCACTTCTGTAAGCAGCAAATAGCCCCATTAGAGGAGCAAGCCCATACTATTGCACATGGTTTAGTTCAGCTTTTGAAGGATCCCGGCCATTTCCTACCACTTCTGTCCAAATTTCAGCCTTTGTGTAACTGGAAGGTGTCCAGGGTTCCTGTTATCTTGGGTCACAATTGCCAGAGATTAACATTTTTGGACCAGACTAAGAGGGGAACAATGTGGTGGAAGAGCATGTTACCCATGATTGAAAACCCAACAGATACTCACAGGATGTATGCGATGACCCCAATGGACCAGCAGTCCACAGCTTTGCTGTAGGGCTTCTGGGCCAGCACTTCAGGAGCTGAAAACACAAAGCCAAGTGAACACGTTACAACACCAAGCATTGGCAAGTGGTCAAGAGGTAGGACCCTAAAACTTGAAGCTCCCTGAGTTGCCCTCCACATACAGCCCTTGGATTTGTAAATATCCCTAGCTTTTTGAAGTTTTTTGAAGATATTCACAAGGACGACTCCTGAAGTGGAGCAAATTCCCCATTTTCTGACTAAGGACAGAAAGCCAACCCAATAAACTACATCTGCAGGAGAGGAAGGAGAGCTGTCACCATACCTCCCAACGGCAGCCTTCCAAAGCCTGATGTATGTCAGACTGAGAGGGAGTAATTTGTCCTCTACCTCTGGGAACACAGACACCTCTCAAAGGAACTGAGCCTTCTGCCGCTATAGATTTCAGCCACCATAGTCTGAATTCGCTAGAAGTGAGAGCCTGGACATTTATTGAAACTCTTTGTGGGTTTGCTTTCCTATCTTACACCAGTGAGAGTTAAAAAGATGCATGTTTTTGTTTGGGAGCCTGGAGTATTATGTTTTCCCTGCTGGGACCTTTCAGTGCAAATGCTTAAACCTAACTTTTAAATCCTTGTGAGCCTATAATCTTTTTCATGTAAAGAAGCTTTTGCTTTATTCAAAGCAAAATGTCCACAACAATGCAAGAAATCACTGACTGCGGCATTCCTAATGCAGACATGCCACACTGGGCTTTAAAAAGCACAGTATTTCCTCTGAGTACATTGGATTTTAAATGGTGCAAAGAAATCATGAAGGGGCAAGTCCCAGCAAAATATTCCTTTGGGGTTACATCTTTCTCTGCTAGGAGTCTTGCCAACATCAAAGCAGTCAGGTACTTGAAGGACTGCAAAACAGAATTGTGAAGCATATAAATGTATCAAAATTTGAGCCTCACATTTAGCTGCTACATATGCTTTGGTGTATTGGTAAGGACTCTTCAAAGAGTTATCTTTTTAAGCTAGACAAGTCAATATAACTAAGGTCAAAACTGCCAGCAAGGGAGGGAACAGGAAAGCAATAATGAGAAACAGAAAAGACTTTCTGGCTCATGGGCATAAGAATTTATAAGACTGAAGGGAAGACAGTGCACATGGAATGGGAATGATGGAAAGGGTGAAGTCACACTGAGCACACATTGTAAAGAGGAAGAAAACACAGGGGAATGTTGGTAAAAATATAACTGGCAGACAGATTATGACAACCTGAAGACTGGGATATGCCCCAATCTGTAACGCAGGTTACGTATGACCCCAGTTTTCAAATCATCAAGAAAACTGGGACCACTGCAGAAGTTAAAATTATGGTTCTGTTCATATATTAATCCTAAACCACTGTTGTAATGTGTGAATATACTTATCCACTACATGCCAAAGGAGGTTTCTTTCTACTGTACCTTGCATGAAAGTCTCCTCACCTGGCCCTCGGTGGCAGAAACCTGCACCCCAATTCCTAAGAAGCCCCTGACTCCTTCCAGAACATAGGCATGCTGCTGTAATGCACCAAGATAAAGGTTAAACGATTCTTGCTACAATAGGGGACAGAGTTGTGGAAATACAGAAGGCATCTACAGTTGCACCCAAAGTGCTGGTGCACAAATGTAACTCCTTTCCTAACGGCTGGGTCAGGGTCTGTGTGTCAGCTTGCTGCTAGTCGGTCTGATGGGGCTGAATTTGAGGACAAACTTGGGATAGAAGAATAAAGCACCAAAGATCCATCCTGTTTGGCCTGCTACTGCCTCCCAGATAACCTGGCAAGCTGGGACAGTCTGCCAAATTTACATTTCTCCTGTATAAAATAGTTGTTGCTCAAAGTTGCTCAAGATGACCTTCCCAGACAGCTTTTGTGTCCCTTAATCTGACTCTTTCCTTCCCGATTCATCAAAATTTGCCTCCAAGTTTTCCTCTAAAAAGAATCCTTTTTTCAAAATGCGCATCAAATGGCGTTTCTGAGACTCTGTTTCCTTTTTGTTCCATCCCTTATGACTGAATTTTGTGACAAAATATGCAGACAAAGGGAGTTAAATTTCCCCCATCCTTAGGTGATCAGATGTCTTCAAACTCTCCACTCTCGCAAAATTCCCAATACTTTATTCACATATCACTTCTCTCTTTGACTGTCCACTTGTGTTTGCACCATTTTCAAGACTGGTAAACATTATACATCTCCTATCCCCAAAGAAAATATTATGCAAATAGATCCTGAGCACCTCAGATCCTAGTGAGCTCCTGATATTATACAGATAGGGCACATTAACATAACAGAAAACAAATCTGAGACAAGGGGGTGTGAACTATATAAAGATTCTCCTTCTTAAAGCATCAAAGCTGAGCTGGGGCATTTCTCTCAGTTTTAAAGGAATTAAGAGCACTGAAACAATTGCTGCTGTGGATGGTAGCTGTGAAGCAGGTAAGAACCCCACAGGATCAAGCCTGAAGCAAACATGAGGCTACTACATCCCCTTTGGTAAACTAAAATGGAAAAAAGGCTGGAGGTTTAAATAATTGCTTTAAGGCCAAATGTCTGCTTTTGATTTTTGTTCCAAGCAGCAGACATGCAACAGGAACAGGAGAACATAGCTAAACATCATCTGTCTCTGATATATGAAGACAGAAATATTTAATGAGCTGAAAAACAAGTCAAAGGAGCTCTCAGAAATGATGGCAGATCAGTGCCAAGAGGCAAAAGCAGAAGATGCAGTGAAAAAAATGCATGAGCTGATGACATTAAAGGATCAACACAGATGGCTGAGGAGGCAAAACATCAGTAAGGAGAAGGGGAAAGTCAAAGCTCCCACTTCTGGTGCTGGGGTGATGCCAGCTGAGCAAAGGCTTCCAATATTGCACCTTCCCAGAGAATGGCTGTGGGCTCAAATGCAACCCAATGGTCATCCAGAGACAGGTAAGTCAATACAGCAAAACTGGACCCTTCCTTCACATTGGGGAACTGTGTTTCAGACCAAATCAGCATTGCTACTAGCAACATGTGGCAGGTAAAGTGTTGGGTAAAAGTCCCAGGGCCTCACCCCACCTGCAGGTACATGAAGATGTGCTTCCCAGGCCAAATGATGTGGTGTTTCACAGTTAGAATTTTTTTTTTATTTATATTATTTTTATATATATTATTATATTATTTTTATGTATAACATTTTTATCATCTTATTTTTATATTTGTTAAGTTGTATTTTGCTTTTAACACAAGAAAAAAATAACAAAAGGCTTGTTTCAAATGGAGGTTTTAAGAAAAGGCACAGAACAGGGACCTTTGGAAAACTTTCAGAGCACTGTGCCAATACCCCTAGTGAGCACAGCTATGCTAATAAGCTCCCTGAAAATGCAGCTGATGTATGCCAAAACCAGCAATCCATGTTCCTGCAAAAAGCTGAGGTGGTGGGGATTGCTCTGATACTTTAAGCCTGATGAACAAACTGTACAAGTCATGAGGGTGCCTGTTCTCATACCAGCCTTATAGTTAAAAGTGATTCTCCTTCACTCCCAGGATGATGCTGCTCCCAGCAGATTTTGTTGTCTCATAAGAACTCAGTCTAATGCTATTTTCTGTGGTTTATATGGCTTCTCACAAGCTGCATGCCAGAAGGAACCATGAATTTGAACAAAGGGTGAAGGTTTTGATGATCCCCATAGGAGTTACATATCAGCAGGCTGCCATAAACATAGGAGGAATATAAAGACCTAAATAGGGGTAAAATGGGCAGGCACATGGCTCAGTTGGTGACACAAATTGGCCTGGTGCAAGCCACAGCTGATGGTTCAGCTGGTAACTATTTTAGTGCCAGTTTCCATCATGTAGGCACATCCTCTAAGTAAAGAAGGGGAAACATGAGTGGGCTGCACATGTATGAGATGGCCAAGAAATCCAAGAGGGAAGATGTGAAACAGGCTGAGTTTGTAAGGGACAGCAAAGGGAGATAGTGCCAGCCTCGTGGTTTAGGACTCTAAGGTACTGCCTCAAGAAGATGAACAGAGAGGAACAACCACTGAGAAGATGACGGGATGCATGAAAGGCTAACCCAGCCCCTCTCCTGAAGCCAAAGACGGTGCAAGGGCAGTGTGAGCTCCTCAGCCACAATACAAAGTGTCTTCCTCACAGTCACAAACAGGTTAAGAAGCATATAAAGCAGCTTCACTGCCATACCAGAGACCCTCTTTCACTGACTCCTGGGATGAAAACGACTTCATTCCCTTTTTTCACAAAGTCCTCCAGTGTTCATCCTTTTCTGGTTGGCCAAGACTTTGAGGTTTGGGGCTGTTCCTGAAGGACAGCAGAGTTTCAGTGCAGCCTGAAGTTGCTGGCTTCTTGTGCTTCTGTTGTCCCTGTTTCATGTTGCTGAGTCAGATCCAGATAGGTTTCATGGACCATAATGCAGCTACAACCACATCAAGCAAACCCTCCTTCAGGATATGGCAATGGAGCTGAGCAATTCCACTGTCACAAGCTTGTGCCTGAGCAAACCCTGGTGACAGCAGTTCCCATGCTTTATTTTTTCTTTATTACTCATGTTACTGCCTAAACAACTCCTGGGGTTGCTTTTTGCTAATAAGGATATTTCAAAGGCTTATTAAATATTTTCAAACCATTGACTCAAAGTATACTGAGTAAGTCAAAATTCAACATGGGAATCTAAATGCTTTGGTCTTGCACAGGGCTAGGAGAAATGCATGGCTCTGGTATATTCTGAAATTGCTACTGGAGTTCTGTCAGAGCTGACAGTTGTGAAATGACCTCACTCACTGCAGAAAATAAAAGCAGTGAGTGAGGTAGAGTCTGTAGTGATAGGACAAGAGGTAACAGATTAAAACTTAAACAAGGGAAGTTTAGATTGGATACAAGGAAGAAGTTGTTTACCGTAAGGGTGGTGAGGCACTGGAATGGGTTGCCCAGGGAAGTTGTGAATGCTCCATCCCTGGCGATGTTCAAGGCCAGGCTGGACAGAGCCTTGGGTGACATGGTTTAGAGTGAGGTGTCCCTGCCCATGGCAGGGGGGTTGGAACTGGATGACCTTAAGGTCCTTTCCAGCCCTAACTATTCTATGATTCTATGACAAACCACACAGCCTGGGTCCAGCCCAATTCCTACAACAGGGAAATGCAAGAATATTTTACTAGAAGTTGGGTTGGGAGTCAGAGCAAGAATTTTAAATCTCAGTAGGACTAAGATACCAGCCAGCCAAAAACACATAGTTTAGCATTTCTGCAAAGGAGATTAGGCTGCCCAAGACAGGCTTTCTAACGTCTTTTCCTTAGTTTTCAATGTTCCTAAATGTCTTGCAAGTCTAAGTCCCATCTACAGAAGTAACTGAAGGTTTTAAGAGACCAGCTCTCACAGAAAGTCAGTCAGTGAGACCCAATTCCCAAGCAGCAAAATCTCTTCTGAGGAAGGAATTTGCTGAGTGACTCGATTCGCCTCCTGGTGAGTGCCCAACTTGACACACCTCAAGGATGAACTCACTTTCAGGCAGTTTTGAACAGCTTCTTCAGGTTCTTATAAATGGTCTCAAGCTGAGTAGCCCAAATCTATAATGTTTAAACTGATAAATCATTTATGGCCTACACAGATCTTGCCCATAATCACACTCAGGGTTTTGAAAAACACCACTTCTCCAGTGTAAATGATGGGGTGGGATCCAAGCAAGCCACTCCACACACCTAATCTGCAATCAAATGAGCCACAAAAGCTGCCTCATCTATATGAGGCAATATAGGAGCTACCTAAAAGTTGGGTGTTTAGTCCCAACTCACCACCTAGACTCCTTCCATAAGAAAGAGAGTTAAGAGTGGTAAGCAGGCAAGAAAATGGAAGACCTTTTCAGCATAAGAAGCTGCATTATCAGACCCCTCTTCAGTGAGTAAACATTTAGATTGGCATCTTAACAAAAGTGGCTCAACTAGTTGTGTTAAATTATCCTAACCATAATGGACCAAAATATCTGACAAAACCCTTGAAGGAATAAGATCCCTGAACTGTTGACAGTAATTTAATCTGTAAGGCAGAGCTTTAAAAGCTAATGTGCTAATGAAGTACAGGTTATGCACATTATAGATATACTCTAATTTGATAAGTAATAATTTTGTCTTCAGAAAGTGATATTTATTGAGAAGTTTAATCATAATTACACTCTCCCTTACTCAGTGAATTTCTGAACCACATAAACAGGACTTTAGTGACTTGGGTACCATTATTCTTTGGTGGTGAAACCAAGAAAAGTTGAGTTAAAATCTGAAATAAAGAGTTGAAAGTACATCCTATTTGGGGAAATCAGATAGAAATGACAGGAGGGTTTACACACTTGGAAATACTTGCCAGAAGACATGAGTTAAGAGCAGGTCTGCTACCAAGCCAGAAGCTTGTCCAGCACTTCACACAGTTGGATCTGACTGGATCCATTTCTGGAGATGAAGTATAAATAGTAGCAGATACTGATGACTTCCTAACAGAGCCCTGGGTGCCTTTGACATGTGATATGTGCCTACTTTTTTCCAAGTCATGGAATCATAGAATAGTTAGGGTTGGAAAGGACCTTACACCATTTAAAAGCAAACTGGTTAAACTGACAAAAATAATTAATTCCTCATGAAATATTAGAAAATGGGTGTTCTACATATCTGTAAAGAAAAGCATCAGGAAATGTGCTGTAAGTGATGAATCCCTGCATGATACTTCCACCCTATGCAAAATGGCTTGGAAAAAGTCTACACAAAGGTGGCAGACAGGACACTGCATGGGCCAGCACTGTGGCATGTGCCCCAATCCAGATGAGGACACATATTCATGTTGTGTCATTAGGAGGAAGGACTCTTACATTTACTTGGGGCATTAGGCAGGTGTTGCAAATTGGAGTGATGCTGGAAGGCAGGAAAGCTTTCAGACGTGGACAAACCGCAGACCACGTATGCAGAAGCCATGTCACCAGGAACCACATCTGTGGGCATCACCACAGTGACCAGCAACAAAATTTTCTGTGTTTGGAAAATGTTGTCTGGGCAATCAATTATATATATTAAAAATAAATAATAAAGGCAGCACTAACAAGGAGCTGTCTCCTGTTCAATAAAGAAACAGAACAAATATTTAAAGAGGTTTTCTTTGTGAGAGAGGGGGAAAACTCCTGTCAGCACTTCAGAAATAAGCATCCATGACCTCTTGAACCATGGTGAATAAAATCCTGTGTTCAGTAAGGTAACAACAGGCCTGGAGCACTTGTGTAGCTATCAGTGACCAGACCATGAGTAATGGGCGCTCTCAAACCTCTCTCAAAGCACTACAATTTGTGTCACATGCTCCGAGAGCTTCCTCTCCAAAATAGCAAGTTTTGTTGAGTAAATGGCTACGCAGAGAGACCATGAGATCACCCAGTGCCCAAGCAGAGTCACGCTCCCTCATTTTCATCAGCAGATATCATCTGAGCTTCCCTGTGTCTGCAGACTTATTCTAGTCAGTGCCCATTTCAGAACAAAATCAAGTGTGTTAATTAAAGACAGAAGAGCTGAGAGCTAAAATTATGAAAACTGCTGCCTCAGCTCAATTCCTTCTAGTGCTTTGGAAGAAGATTTCCAGTCTGGTGTGATTAGACATGACAGCTATTCAGGCTCTACAGAGTGCATCCTGACTCACATGGCTTAAAATAAAATGATGAGCTGATGGCTTCATAAAATGGGAAACCAGAGAAAACTGTTCCTTTGCCTGATGCTATAGAGTTTGTCTGTGCAGTGTGAAGATAATGCCCAGAAAAAGGTATTCCTCAGACAAATTCGGATCACTGTGTCGTAACTACATTATCTTTTTGAGTTCTCATACCATGGTATCATCAGAGCTGTGAAAACAGGTGAGGTGGCAGCTGAAAAGCAAAAGGAGGCTCTGACTGCTGGAAAACATTAAGTTTTTCCTACTGGAAAGGTATGAGACAGATCTATCCCCGGGAAAGCCACTGTAATTTTAGTTTCATAGATTTCATGGATACCCCTGAGATTCATTTTACAGTCTCAGCTGACTAGCTCAGTATCGTAGGAGACACAGGCTTTCCAGATGTCTTGTGCACAAAATGAGTCTTTTAAATAGCGTTTGCTCAAACAGACCCTTCTCACATTCATTTACTTCAACTTTTTAAAAGGATGCTGGTAAACACACTACTAATTAGAAGCCTGGTACAACCACTGCTGAACGAACAAAAGAGCAAAGAATAAATGACAGGAAATAAAACATGTCTGAATAAACTGAAAGAGGGTAGATTCGGATTAGATATTAGGAAGAAGTTCTTTACAGTGAGGGTGCTGAGGCACTGGCACAGGGTGCCCAGAGAAGCTGTGGCTGCCCCATCCCTGGCAGTGTTCAAGGCCAGGTTGGACAGGGCTTGGAGCAACCTGCTCTAGTGGAGGGTGTCCCTGCCTGTGGCAGGGGGTTGGAACTGGATGAACCAAAACATTTTATGATTCTATGAAATTTAGCTCTTACATTTTAATGCTTTCTATCACAGGAATCTGGATATGCTATCCTTTATGCTTAAAATAATATGTTACACTATGTAAAGCTTTTTGGTCTTCTATGTGCTTGCAGAATCAATACATTTGAGGCTATTCTTCATGTGTCCTGATTTAGAGAAGACTCATTCTGCAATGTATAAAAATCATGGAAGTCAACCCTAAAAGCGCAGAGCTGGATTGCAGGATTCTCCCCAAGGAGAAAAGACAGAAGACCAGCAACTTTTGGTATCTAATGAACATCTGTAAAACCTCATTTTCATTATGTAGCGGCATTAGAAAACAAGTATTATTTCTTTTCATTCTGTGTCTGTACTGCAGCTGGGAGGACTGGACAGACAATATAACCAAACCTCTTACCAACATAGCCAGGAGTCCCACAGGCTGTGGACATCACATCTCCTTTACCCTCCATCTTTGACAATCCGAAGTCACTGATCATGATTTTTGACTCTTCATCCTGGCTATAGTAAAGCAGGTTCTCGGGCTAGAAAGGAGAACAAGCAAAATGGGTTTTGAATATTAAAGTTCAGTAATAACATCTGCCGGCTTATGTCCTGCATTTAACAGAATCCTTAGTTACATCATACACTAATAAAAATTGGTTCCCCTAAATCCTAAAAACCTGCTCTTATATGGAGATTCTCTCCAGACTTTTGTATGGCAACTAATGGAAGAAGCTGATTCCTTGGGCTTTGAGTAACCTTCCTGGGATAACAAACTTCTCCTTTAGCACCTCAAGTAAGAACTAAGGCTTGTGCGTTGCCTGTGAGATGTCTGACAAATTGTCATTTCATAATGATAAAATGGATTCATTTGAAGCAGGTAAATACGGTAAATCCAGGTAGTGTAATGAAATTGGTTTATACAGCATTTAAGTAAAGGAAAACAGTAGCTATTACAGAATTCTTCTATCTTCTCCACTGAAAATAAACTGTTATGAGAGAGGAAATGCCTTTACAGTTAACAGACTTGCATCAAAGATGTTTGAACTAGAGCCAATTAGGAAAAAATCCTACAGCGCTAAGAAGTACAGCAACTTGTTTATGCTGAGAGAAAACAAGAATTAGGCCACAAACCCCTGCGACTTTATAGCAGCGTCAGGCAGGTTGGAGAGCTCAACCAGCCTCCATTTGCTGCACCATAGTCCTCCATCTGTAATACCACTGCTACACTACAAAGCTCTCGCTAGGTGTTGTGAGAGAACACTTCTTCCCCTACTTAATATCCAGGCTCACAAAAAGGTCCAGCATCTGTGGCACTCTGACAGCCTGCTGCTAACGGGGTGCCACTGCACCACCCAGACCTTGCGGTCTTCATCTATAGAAGTAATGGATACCCAGTATTTCAACATAACCCTGGTGTAGAGTTTTGCCCAGAAGATGATAAAAATGCACACTGCCATGCAACACATTTTGTCTATCATCCTGGTGTGTGCTCCAGCTGCAGCCACACAGCATCATCAAACTCCTTGGGACACATCCAAGCCTGGATTTGTAAGGAGGAATAATGGCAGTGCAACAGCACCAGCATCTGTCTTCCCTCCTCCATTGCCACAATCTCCTGCTCTGGGGAAAGGGGAGACGAAGAAGTGTCACGGTTGACGCTGCCCCTATTCTACTCTGAGGTTCCCATTCAGCTTCAAGTGGAGGTTCAAGCACTCTCTGGCACCCCAGCCCCCACATGAACCCACGTAGTGATGGTTTTATCCATGTGACACAATGGCCTTGAGAGGATCTACGAACTGCACCCACAGCTGTGAGCCAGCTGGGACTGAGGCTAACAGGGAAACAATTCTGTTCATAAAAATTAATATGATGTTGTGCCATTTATGTTTCTTTCTCATGATAGCTCCTGAGTTCAGTGCTTTAACTGGCTGTTACAATGCTGACCCTGTTTTCAGGCACTGCATATATCAGTTTTATGCCATGGTCTGCCTTTGGTTTAAGTTACTCCTGACCTTTACTAGTGCACTTCTGACCTGCTGAGGGATCGGCAGAGCTGGTATTAAGTGAAAGACAATTATTTCCTAACAATTTTTTCTAACTCACCTCAGGTTCCCACTTATTCCTATATAGCTAGGCTAAGAAACCTACCCATTGAAAACCTAAACTTGTTTAAAACTGGTTTAAAACCCTCTGGTCTTTCAAGCTCGCTCATTCAAAAAGCGTTAATGAAGTGGCTCTGTACCAAGAGGAGTTGCTTGAACCTTTCAGTCGCTTTGTACATTCTGGACTTCCCTGGACCCTATGTGCTTCCATCACTTGTTATCTGATGCTGTGTTACTTAGATTAGAGACTTGGAGCCCAGATCTGCTCTTCCCAGCTACAGCAAGTACTATTTTGGTATCTGAATAACACATAATTACAATAAATAATTGTTATGGATGTTTCGTGGGTTGTATTTTTATAGAATGGATTCTTTCCCAGAAATTCATTTTAGGGATCACAATTTGAAACTTATGCTTATCTTGGTATTTTATCCCTATTTTTGCCATCATGGTATGCTTGTGCTAACAGAAATTCTCTGCAGGTGTTCCTCATATACCATATTTTATGAGCCATTTTAAGAACTGATATGGTACTGACAAAGACTTGCAAGCAAAAGAAAGAGAGAGAACAAAAGCAAGACTTTGCCCCAAAATACTCCTGGAGAAGGTTGGTTTGATTTAAATTCAGCATGTCCTTACATAAATTCTGAAAGTAATTTGTGGATGAGTCCACTTCCCAATTACCACACCTCATATTTTATTATAGGAACTTTTCAATAAGATTAATGTTTTAAAGTGGGAGCTACAGCTTCCCTTTAAATTACAAAGACAGGAATGCTATTAAGAGCTTGTACTACAGAACATCTGAAGGCCACAGCATCAACATCCAAGGAAACTCTTGCTCGGAGCATCCCTCCAGAACACAACCAGAAGTATTTTGTTCACTGAATTCTGAATTTCTAGCAGTAAGGTTTGGTGGAATTAACTAGCTCAGGAACTGAACCCACGGTTTTCTTCTAACATTTGCATATTTTTCTAATGTTTTCTGCTAATTAATCATTTAAGACACTAAAGATGGGGAGGCTTAGCTGTGTGTTATGAAATCCAAGCCTTTCTGCTTATCTTAATGGCAGTTTAAGAAGGAAACAATAAAGAAATAATGTTTTGGTTTCGGTTGGGGCTTTTTTATGTAATAACATGGTACAGCTGAAAGGAAAATTATCTAAAAATCACATTGGCACCCAATGATCCTTAGAAGAATCCTTGCTGCTAACAGTGTCTTCAAAAACACTGGTCCAAATAGCACAATAGGAAATCATTCAACTTTCCCACACTGTTTATTGTTACTAATTATTATTAAGTAAAAGTAAATATAGCCCAGCAGATCTGCAAAATACTTTACAGCAGTAAACACTTACATCCCAGCTGAGTTTCCTGCCTTAATGGAACATTTCAAGTCTTAATGAATGACTTTTTCCCCACACGCATCTGTGCAGAACTTCCATTGTAACAGCATTAATTGCAAAGGCTTCATTAAAACCAATTACATGGGGAGGCTTCAGAGCATCCCTCTTACAGCAAAACCTTCCTGAAACAGCCAGTCCCAGGGGGGCCTGGACTTAATATCTTAGACTCATATAATTCTACAACCTTCATTAACATTTCTCAGAGGACTGAGTCACGCTGTGGTCTTACCTTGAGGTCCCTGTGCACAATGCCCATTCGGTGCAGGTAGTAGACAGCATCCAGGACCTGCCGGATCAGGGTGCTGGCATCCTTCTCGGTGTAGAACCCTTTCTCAACAATGCGGTCAAAAAGCTCTCCCCCAGACACTCTGGAAAACATGATGGGATGCAGAAGTGTGAGGATATGGTTTGCCATATGCTTTTTACCTTTGGAGCTCTGAGTACTCCCCACTGTCCCAACAAGGATTTGGGTTTGGTTTTCTCATAGACCAAGGACTGGTCATGCTATAATGGAAAATAAAATCCATTGCACACCAGAGAGTGGGCAAAGACTCACTAGCACTTGCAGAGGGAAATCACAACTCTACCCTAGCAAGAGCCAGTGAAGCACACACTGGTTCCTACACTGTATAGGTGAATTTAGTCTGCCCTTCCCGCTGGTGCTGGCCCATGGAGGTTGTAAGGCTTGCTACTAGTATGATCCTTGGGGTTCACTTTTCACTTCATTGATCAAGGCTTGGGAAGGCTACAGGAGGAAAACCAGGCTGAATGGGGCTTTGAGCAACCTGGTCTAGTTGAAGATGTCCCTGCTCATTGCAGGAGGCTTTGAACTAGATGAGCTTTAAAGTCCCTTCCAACCCAAGCCATTCTATGATTCTCTTTTCCCTCTTTTCACTGGTGAGTGAAATGCATACGGTAGTTGCTGCCAATACCTATAGAGCATTAGTTTATTAAAGGATTCTGCTTCTCTGGCAATTTTGAACGCTTTCAGAGGTGCCCTTCCTTTACTCTTATATCTATGTTCATCTATCAGCAGCCACAAACTCTAGGCAGAGCACAGCCTCTGCCTGGCACTGGTAACAGACTGTTACTGAAGAGGGAGCACAGATTATCAGTGCAATTAATCACCAGATGACACAAATGGGGAAAGGATTCCACAACTCAAAAGAGGAAAGAAAATAAAACCTTGACATCCCACTACTTAATGTCGGCTATATTACACTTTTCCTCAGCCCTGCTAGAAATAACACATTCTAAACCCAATCTTAAATAAAGAATGGACACATTAAAACTCCCTGGAGGAGTATCTGGGGAAACAAAAGAGGAAAGAAATGTCTGAGTAATTGAAATAATAAAACTGTCAGCAAAAACCTGTCCTACCAGGGTAAATAAAAGATTTCCATTTTAACAAGCAAAACCTATTAAAAAAAAATGAAATGCATGTGACAGGCGTTTTTTCAACAAGTTGCACCACTTAGCATATCATAAATAGCACAGTAAAACTTTCTTTAAAAACAAACCTCATAAAGGGAAAATAATAAATGATTACAGTCATTAAACACACATAAACTGGGACCTTGCAATTATATGAACACTGGGTAACTCAGCCACTCCAAGAAATAATCTGCTTGAATAATGCCATGAAGTCACTTCCTAGGGAAGTTTGAAGCCTGAATGGGGGAGAAGGCTACAGCTGAAAATGAACACATTCAACTTCAAAAATTAAAAGCAACCTTGCAAGAAGAAATAATAAACCAGATAATCCTCCCATTATGTGCTAGGCAAACAAACCAAACAGCTTGCTGAAATATTGGCATTAAACTGAAGTTCTGCAGTAAAGGTGAAGTTCACCCAGGGTCTGAAGTCCACCCACGAGACCCCTGGCTGTACCAGCAGCCCTGGGGATTGCTGCTGGCAGAGAGAGGATGGAGCAGAAGCAGTGGGATGATAGTGGAGCAAGAGAAAGCCTCTGGTACCATATTGAACTGGAGAGCCCATGACTTATGGCACAGTGGTGAAGGAGGCATGGCAGAGACTGTAGAAGTGCCATCACACAATAACCTGCTGTGATATGAACATTGCACAAGAAAACTTGAATTAGAACCCCTTCTTCACTAGCTTCTCACAACAGGAGTTGCATTTCTCACAGATATGCATATGCAGAGGGTATTGCTCCAAGCACATCTCAGCCCTACACCCTTTACCCAACCCATTGCGTGCCTTGCCAAGGGCAGAGGCAACAGACACAACTCTGCCTCGCCATTCACTGAAGGCAGATACAGTTTTATTGAATCTGGCTCCTATTAGCTGGCTGTCTTTATAGTTCCCCTGCAGCCCTTTTGTTTCCCATGGATTGATTGCACTGAAAATGGAGCCCACGCAGTCATTAACATGACTGAATGCAGCACATTTCCCCGTGAAAATGCAGTGCGTGCTGGTTTGCATTTCATACAGTTACTTTTGTTATAGTCAAGAGACACACTGCTTTAGTAGATACTGATTTACATCACGTGCTTTCCTGCACAAGGACTCCTTCAATGTTTGCAGTGTACACTTCCACAAATTGCTTTTCATAAAATGACAGAATTTCCCCCCATGCCCGTTCACAACCCCCTTAAGCCTCATTCTTAAATTGAAAGCTTTTCTTAGTCAAATTGAGTCCAGTGCATTTACTGTACCCAGGCTCAATCTGCTTATAATTTTATTTCAAAACACGGAAAATATTTGCACCCACTCAAATGATGCATTGCAAACCAGAGCTTAATCCAAGGACTTGGGAGGAACAGGCGGTCAGTTTGCAGCCACTCGCTTATTCAGATTGAAAACAGAATTCCAGGTACATGCAAAGAGCCGAGGGTCCTGTGCTCCTATTTATTTGTGTTGTGACTTTGTGTTGCGGTACATGGGATTTGCACTGCATGTTTGCGCTCACCTATAGAGTCTTCCTGCTCTGGGCAAGAGAGTCGTGGCTGGGGTTCACCTCCCAGGGATGCTCTGCAACTCAGCACCCAAGGCCATGGCTACTTTCCATATGGAGCTTATGTCCATATGGCTTTTCTACTCCAAAAGAAGGTTAACTCAACCGTAATGTCATTGTGAATACTGCTCCCCGTATGGTGCCCAAGGACTGACGTAAATCAGTGCTGTTCCAGGAGCAAACCAGTGAGGGCAGCTGTGGGAGAGCATTTGAGCTCTAAACTCATGGTGGAGATGTGGCCTGTTTTGTCCAAAGCCGGTTTTAAGCCCAGCCCCCTCTACCCTGCTGAGACAGGACTTGGCATCCTGCTCTGAGCAGCGCAGGGCACTCACAAAGCAATTTGTTCGTTCCAGTCTTTATTATTCTGGAATTATTTTTTTTTTTTTTTAATGGCAGCACAAGCTTTGCTCTCTCTAAGGCAAATCTGAGCAGTGCACAGAAGGCAGAGTTGAAACTTCAGTCAGTAAGAGCAGAATTGGGTCTTTGTCTTCAAGAAATTTAAGACAGCATTTTCTGACCATTAAGAGAGGGTAGGAGGAATTTCTCATCAGTGGAAGAGGACTGCTCCTGTCTTGCAGCTGGCACTGGCTCACAGAGCTGGACACACTGCCCCAAACAACAGCACAAGGAACCTTTTTCCCTGCTGACTGTAGTCTTGGTTCCCAGCAAAGGAAAAGTCAAAGGAGGAGTAGCCAAGTGCATTTACTTGAAAAGCATTTAGCCCTGGGAACAGCTCAAGTGTCATGCCATGATCCTGAGTTGTACTTGCCCTGCCTAGGGACTCAGAGCTGAGTAAAAATATGTGAAAAGGCTGCCACTGCATCTTCTGCATGGATGCCTGATGGGATCCCCTGCAAAGTGTGTGTCTCCATCCAGTGGTCATTGCTTGGTCACCAAACAATGGCTATCCCCTGGTTCACCAGGTAGCACGGAGAAAGCCCAGCACTTGGAGAAGGAGCTGAGCTGGCTCAGACAGGATAAAAGGACCCCCAAAGAGCTCACAATCCTCATTGTAGGTGAAGAAGAAGGCACTCTAACAGTGTCCTAATATTATTCAGTCCTTGTCATTACACAGTTTCTACATTTTTGCAACTCCTAATTTACAGATGTAACTGGGGAGAGATGAGGAAACATTTCATAGAATCATAGAATAGTTAGGGTTGGAAAGGACCTTAAGATCGTCCAGTTCCAACCCCCCTGCCATTGGCAGGGACACCTCACACTAAACCATCTCACCCAAGGCTTTGTCCAGCCTGGTCTTGAACACCACCAGGGATGGAGCATTCACAACTTCCCTGGGCAACCCGTTCCAGTGCCTCACCAACCTCACTGTAAAGAACTTCCTCCTTATATCCAATCTAAACTTCCCCTGTTTCAGTTTTAACCCATCACCCCTTGTCCTGTCACTACAGTCCCGAATGAAGAGTCCCTCCCCAGCATCCCTATAGGCCCCCTTCAGATACTGGAAGGCTGCTATGAGGTCTCCACGCAGCTTCTCTTCTCCAGGCTGAACAGTCTCAACTTTCTCAGCATTAGTATTACACCTTTACTTTACATTAACCCATTTCCCCATCAAGTTCCTCAGGAAAGAGCCAAACTGACAAAGAAAACAACCCCTGTTGCAGGTATGGAGAAAGGATATGATCAGCCTTTTCCTGAAGGAACCAAGTTCATTGCAATACCATCAGGAAAGCAGAATGTGCAGAGTTTCAGAGGCACACTTTGATGAAAGATGAGCACCAAATAAAAACTCCATTGTAATTTAAGGCTCCTTCATGAGCACAAATCAAGAGCCAGTCTCTCTGGATTTCTGATGTTTTTGCCTGCAGTGAGAAACCTGCACCTGCACATTGCAGGTCACTACCAGGTACCTGCCAGATCACTATCACAGCCGGGCTGCCTGGCAGGGAGCAACCCTATATATGTTACGTTCAGGTAAATAAATATGTGAATGAATAAAAGAACAAATAAATGCTGAAATTAAAAAGATATTAGTCATGTATTGATATTAATGAATTCATGTTATCTTTATTTCTCTTGCTAATGCCACCTGTGTGTACAGAATATATCCTTTTATTTATTCACCTATGCATCCCCCACTGTTATCAAGTGTTTCTGCTTGTTTTAGGACCTTGAAAAATAGCACCCTCTGAATTATTCTTTTGACTTCTTTGCCATTTGGCAAAACACTGATGCTTTCCTTTTCTCTCTCTCTTGGAGTACAGGCTGGAATTGCTCTCGATGGCTTACTGCTTGACAGTTTAACTGCTTTTTATCAAAAGTCTTCTTGATGAACTCAGCAGTGACGGATTCAAGCAAAGAATCCCATTAAAGGTATTCAGCACTCATAGGCTTTTCCCTCTGGAAGTGTGTAAAGAAGCTCACCTGATG